GCCTTCTCAAAGGCTTCATTATACATAGTTTGAGTTTATTAAACTTTTGTGGGCCAACAGCTTTAGTTCTTTTTTTCTAAGTCCTGTATCCAACAAGATTTAGTAGGAACTACCTTAATTTATTCACACATTTTAACAAATTGTACAATAGCTATGCCCTTGATTTGACCTTTGCACTAAGGACTCATCTTAATCAGCCTGTTACTCAAAGCATTTCTCTCTTTTTTTTTTTTTTTTTTTGAGACGGAGTCTCGCTCTGTCACCCAGGCTGGAGTGCAGTGGCACAATCTCGGCTCGCTGCAACCTCCGCCTCCTAGGTTCAAGCGATTCTCCTGTCTCAGCCTCCCAAGAAGCTGGGACTACAGGCGCCCGCCACCATGCCCGGCTAATTTTTTGTATTTTTTAAGTAGAGACAGGGTTTCACCATGTTAGCCAGGATGGCCTCAATCTCCTGACCTCGTGATTCGCCCGCCTCGGCCTCCCAAAGTGCTGTTATTACAGGCTTGAGCCTGTAAAAAAAGTAAAATCATTTTGTGATTTTAACTTTTATTGGTTGAAAAAGACAAACAGCTTTTTCTTTTCTTTTTTAAATAAAGACAGGGTCTCATTATGTTGTCCAGAATGGTCCTGAACTTCTAACCTCAAGCAATCCTCTGCCTCAGCTTCCCAAAGTGCTGGGACTACTGGCGTAAGCCACCTTGCCTGGTTAATAAACTGTTCTCACTTCAACATTACAAGTTCCAGAATTTTGGAATTCTCTATTTTCTTCTTCATTCCCACTTACAAATAGACCAATTCCATTCTAAACTCAGATCTCTTTCCTGTAGTCAAATGTAGCTGTTAATACCAAAGGCACTCTAGTAACATTCTGTTTTGCAATCTCATTACCTAAAATGATAGAAAAAAATAGTATTGTCAACTATTCACAGGAAACAGTATTATCAAATGTTTTGTCATGACGTAATATAGATCATTTTTCCAGCTCCCAAACACAGTTTTCTTGTAGCCAGCCCCTCAACTATTACCCACGGCCTTTATCTTGAGCAAATTTATATACAGGCCTCAACTTTCAGTGCAGAGGAAGCAGTATGAGAAAGCTGTTTAGCCCTTAAGGATGATACATTCTCCAAACCCATCTTTAGATATGGTTATAGAAGAAAATGGAAGAGAAAAGATCTCCAGAGTGTAAAATCAAGGACCATGGAGAACAATGAACTGGGAAACAATTCCCCAGGAACACAACTGGGGCATAAACACAACAGATTCCTTCTCCCAGAGTAAGGGGATATCCTGTCCCTGTCCAACAATGTATACTGAGCAGGGGGATGTGCAGAAAAGAGTTAACACAGCAGGTCTGAGAACGCTTTCCTGAGAAAGGCCTGCTTGCAGGCGGATCACCTGAGGTCAAGAGTTGACCAGCCTGGCCAACATGGTGAAACCCCATTTCTACTAAAAACACAAAAATTAACCAAGTGTGGTGGCACATGCCTGTAATCCCAGCTACCTGGGAGGCTGAGGCACAAGAATTGCTTGAACCCAGAAGGTGGAGGTTGCAGTGAGCAGAGACTGCACCATGGCACTCCTGCCTGGGTGGCAGGGTGAGACTCTGTCTCAAGAAAGAAAAAAAAAAGAAAAAAGAAAAAAAGAAAGCCCTGCTTGCAAGGTAGGCTCTCTTGGCTGGCATCTAGGAACTTCAATTTCAGGAGAGTTCCCACCATTCTCTAACTGATAACAGTGCCTATCCTCTTTGTACAAATAATGTAGTTTATGATTTCTTTCTGGGAGTCAAGAATTTTGGTACATGGTAGGCAGAGGATACCTACATGACTAGCCCCCAATAAAAATCCTGAGCACTGAATCACTAATGAGCTTCCCTGGTAGATAAAACTTTACAAATGTCACAATTTGATGCTGAGGGAATCAGGCCCATCCTGTGTGACTCTACTGTAGTGGAAATGTGGAAGCCTATGCCTGGTTTCTTGCAGATTTCACCACAATAGGTCTTTTCGCTTTGCTGATTTTGTTTTATATTATTTGCTATAATAAATCATAGCTGTAGGCTGGGCACGGTGGCTCATGCCTATAATCTCAGCACTTTGAGAGGCTGAGGTAGGTGGATCACTTGAGGTCAGGAGTTCGAGACCAGACTGGCCAACATGGGGAAACCCTATCTCTACCAAAAATACAAAAATTAGCCAGGCATGGTGGCGTGAGCTACTCAGGAGGCTGAGGCAGGAGAATTGCTTGAACCCAGAAGGCGGAGGTTGCAGTGAGCTGAGATCATGCCACTGAACTCCAGCCTGGGTGACAGAGCGACACTCTGTCTCAAAAATCAATCAATCAATCAATCAATCATAGCTGTAAATACAACTTCATTCTGAAACTTGTGAGTCGTTCCAGCTAATAACCAAACATGGGGGTGGTCTTGGGAACCCCTGACACAAAACAGATAACCTGTCTGTTTAGTTCATAGATCTCTGCATTAGAATGAGTCATAGCTGGCCCTGATGTGGATAAGCCCTTGGGTTCAGGATGAAGGCTGTGACTAGATAAGACAGAGTCTTAGGGTGTGGGAAAAAGTAAGTGTATTTTGTCTGAGGGAGGGAAATAAATCACAAGGACAGGATGTGGTAAACTATATTATTATTCACAACTATTTTCTCCTTCCCAGTAAAAAGATTATATATCCCTGCCCACTACCATGTGGACCTGGAACACTTCCCTGTAATGAAAATATACTTCACATCCCATCGTCTAAACTGATTATATGACTTGCTTGGGTCAATAAAAGGTGCGTACAAGTGATACTGTGCTAGGTCAGCAGAAACTTTAAGAGGCATTGCATGATTCTGCCTCCTCTTTTCCTACGTCACAAGAAAAATTTTTCCCAAATAGGGACTATTCCTTCACAACACATAAAATTATGACAGCCAAACTGCAGCCATAACATGTAATATTAATTAGAAATAAATGTTTGTCATAAGCCAGTGAGATTTGGGGGTTGTTCAAAACCTAGCGAAAGCTGAGCATATACATAATCTCAAAATATGTATATTTAAAATATTAATATACTCTCTAGCGTAAACTATTTTTGTAGTAGCACAAATTCCAAGTCTAACTTACGTTTTGGAACTCTTTCAGGAGCTGGAATGTCACTGATTTTCTCTTCTTTGGCAGATTCCTTATTTTCTGAAGACTTTGGCTTTTTTCTTTGGCGCAGCTCTACAGGTGGTCCTTAAAATATTTAAGACATTATTGCAATGTGTGTATAAAATTATTTTGATCTGTATCCTGAGCCAATTAACCTTTATTATTCTAAAGCAAAAGTACCACTAAGACCTATTAGCATCAAAGATAACCTTTTCATAATTATTTTGGCACCCCTGCAAAATCTTCTTTTGTCCAAAAAAAAGACAATTTTAAGTTCCACTCCCCAATTTGTATTTTGACAATCCTAGTAGTAAACCAATGCGCTCTTCTCCCAAGATGATGCAATTTTCAAAACATCCCAAAATAAGTAAGCTCTTTTCCAAATTAGGGTCAAGGTGTTATTCAGCTCATAATTCTAGTTACCTTAAAGTATCAAATGCATAACTCATGGTTTAAGTGTTTTGTAAAAATCAAAACATAACACATTCATCATAAACTACACTTCTTTGTTTAACCCTGAAAGCTCTGCAGAATTTCAGTACTGTGTTATCATTAGCATTGTACAATCTTTTAGATTTAGGGATTAGAAAATAGGCTGAACCTACAAAGATACTTATATATGAGAAGGTCTCAAAATAATTTCCCAGGATTAGACTAGCTTCCTCTTCTAGCTCCAGTTTTAGAAAATGTGATGCAGAAGTTACCTCCAAAATAGTAAACTAAACTCCAAGTTAAACAGGAATGTACTATGTACAATTTATACTTTTCCTCCCTAGAATTAATCATCTCGTGGGATAGATTACGATACTATAAGTACAGAGTGTTCCTGCCAAGTTATAAAGTGGTACAATAATTTATCTTTCTCATGGAAGTGGAAGACAGTTTTTTCCTTTCTCTTAGTAATAACTTCAGGCTATGAAATGTGAAAATAAACATAGAAGTCAAAGAAGGAGAAACGAATCAGTTGCTGCTGATCGGATGTATGTTCTTAGCTTTACTGTGGAAAATGAATAAAATAAACATATTTTAAAATAGCTTCATAGCAAACTTACGTGCTCACTAAAATATCTTTAAACACTGGCATAGTGAGAAAAAAAGCTGTACATTTAACGGATTCAGACTGATGAATCTAATGTTTACTCATTTCTATACTACCATTTATTCTGTAGTCATGTTAAGTAGTGAAATCAATGAAAATATTTTAAAATGACATTATTAGGCTGGACATGGTGGCTCATGCCTGTAATCCCAACACTTTGGGAGGCCAAGGTGGGTGGATTACCCGAGGTCAGGAGTTCAAGACCAGCCTGGTCAACATGGTGAAACCCTGTCTCTACTAAAAATACAAATATTAGCCGGGTGTGGTGGTGCGCTCTTGTAATCCCAGCTACTCAGGAGGCTGACGCAGGAGAATCACTTGAACCCAGTAGGTGGAGTTGCAGTGACCCGAGATTGCGCCACTGCACTCTAGCCTGGGTGACAGAGGGAGACTCCGTCTCAAAAACAAAATGAAACAAAACAAAAAAACAAAAAATGGCATTATTAGAAAAATGTACCCCAGACTTTGAGTATTTATACATATAAATCTAGGTCAATTAGTAAATATCACTATATTCCTTCCTCATTATGCCTCTTTAACATTCCCCTGCTCTGGGTTAAAGTAGAAGTTAGAAGCAGTCATCAAGAACAAATATTTATGCAAAATCAAATAAAGTCTTCAAAAACAAATTATTGTTTTTAATTTAATTTAATTTTTTTTTTTTTTTGAGACGGAGTCTCACTCTGTCGCCCAGGCTGGAGTGCAGTGGCCGGATCTCAGCTCACTGCAAGCTCCGCCTCCCAGGTTTATGCCATTCTCCTGCCTCAGCCTCCCAAGTAGCTGGGACTACAGGTGCCCGCCACCTCACCCGGCTAGTTTTTTGTCTTTTTAGTAGAGACGGGGTTTCACCGTGTTAGCCAGGATGGTCTCAATCTCCTGACCTCGTGATCCGCCCGTCTCGGCCTCCCAAAGTGCTGGGACTACAGGCTTGAGCCACCGCGCCTGGCCTTTAATTTTATTTTAAAAGAATACAAGGGGAAAATATAACCACAAGAACCTTCCTTTGTAGGTACACCTGCATGATTAATCACATAACAGCACTGGACTTTAAAACATTTAATTGGATAATTTCAGAAATCAAATTAACAAATCTATTGAGATAGTCAACAGATATACTATATGTGACCAATGGGCTAGGTAAGTGGGTCTTTTCCATTAGAGTCTAAAAATATACACTTAGTGATAAATTGGGAGGGGAATAGTCACATAAAACGTGTTCTTACAAAACACTATCATTTTCCTTTTTAAAAATGTTCTTTATCAAATAAATCACTTTACAGGACTTTAATTAAACATGTTCTCTTTGTGCCCATAAATGAATTTTGTTTATAAAAGTACAACTTACACAAAAATTTTGCATAGATTTTCAAGTAATTTCTGAAGTATACAACTCTCAACAGTCACCTCTCAGGAATTTATATTAGCAATGATCGAGGACCATACAAATATGTAATCTATAAAAAATCTATAATATTATATTTTCCTGATTCTAAGATGCCATATATTTGAAGATGCCACTCAATAGGTTTTCAAGGGGGAAAAAAAAAACCACACTGTCACATTGAATGCATGTACTGATTTTAAGACATACCAATTTTAGTGGCATTAAACTGTAAGAGTGAAAAGTATGACTTGATAAATACAGTATTCATTTTAGTTCATCTCTTCAACCTTATCCCTAAAGCTAACTTTCCATATAATTTCATAATGGAAAAACAAAGCCACACATCTCTAGGTGGAAAAAAGCAAAGGTCAAAGCAATGGACAAATGAGATTATCAGTTCTGACAGGAAAGCTCTGCGATGTAATTCAAGCCTCCTTTTTACTATCTTTTTTTTTGAGACATAGTTTCACTCTTTTTGCCCAGGCTGCAGTGCAGTGGCGCCATGCCAGCTCATTGCAACCTCTGCCTCCCGGGTTCAGGCAATTCTCCTGCCTCAGCCTCCCAAGTAGCTGGGATTACAGGTGTCTGCCACTACGCCCAGCTAATTTTTTGTATTTTGAGTAGAGACGGGGGTTTCACCACGTTGGCCAGGCTGGCCTCGAACTCCTGACCTCATGATTCGCCCGCCTCAGCCTCCCAAAGTGCTGGGATTACAGGCGTGAGCCATGATGTCCAGCCACTCCTTTTCACTATCTTATATTTTTAGCATTGTAAAGAAAAAGTCAAACTAAATGAAGATGATTACACATCCACAAAAGTAATCTGCTATTTCAGACTTCAGTCCAGTCATCTTCATATGAAATAGTAGGGCTACAAACAGGCTTTCAAATGTCCACGCAGGCTAGACATAGCAGTTTCCAAATGAAATGTTAATACTGCTCTACTCAAGGTTGTCACTTCTTTCTTTGCTCTAACACTGCTTTCAGAAAGCATAAATATAAACACCCTGGCCCTCTACTGCATCAAGGAAGACATTTTTTTAAAAACCAGATTCCCAGAGTATTTACTTGGACAATGAAGAGGATCCAAGCGAATGTGAACTGTAAGTAAGATGGGACATGGAGAACACCTGGATACAAGTAACATATACAGACTATTTAGTCTAATTTTAACACAGCGAATAAAAGATAATATGAATTTTTGGGGAAAAAACTATAGAGTGACAAATAAACAAAAAACATTCAGAATGTCTGGCACATAGACAGACAGGTATGCTATATATATTATTATTACTAGCATTATAATAAATGAAAATTTAATTACTCATTCATTGCTGACTATTATATCCTTGCATCTAATAGAGTATTAACACAAATATTTATGGAATTAAAAATGTGTTGAACAAAGCAGTATTTTAATAAACTGCAACCCATTAATTGTCCCATATAAGATGTATTTAACTGTTTTTGAGTTATATGTAATTCTACAACCAAAAATCATTTATCATTTTATTTATTTTATTTTTGAAAGGGAGTCTCGCTCTGTCACCCAGGCTGGAGTGCAGTGGGGAGATCTCGGCTCACTGCAACCTCAGCCTCCTGAGTTCCAGCGATTCTCTTGCCTCAGCCTCCCAGGTAGCTGGGACTACAGGCGTGCGCCACCACGCCCGGCGAACTTTTGTATTTTTTAGTAGAGCCAGGGTTTCACCATATTGGCCAGACTGGTCTCAAACTCCTGACCTCGTGATCTGCCTGCCTTGGCCTCCCAAAGTGTTAGGATTACAGGTGTGAGCCACTGTGCCCAGCCTTAATTTTGGTTTTTTTGAGATAGAGTCTCGCTCTGTCACCCAGGCTGGAGTGCAATGGTGCAATCTCAGTTCACTGCAACCTCAGCCTCCTGGGTTCAAGTGATTCTCCTGCCTCAGCCTCCCGAGTAGCTGGAACTACAGACGTTCGCCACTCGGCTAATTTTTGTATTTTTAGTAGAGATGGGGTTTCACTGTGTTAGCCAGGTTGGTCTTGAACTCCTGACTTCAAGTGATCCACTCACCCTGGCCTCCCAAAGTGCTGGGACTACAGGCATGAGCCACCATGCCCAGCCCATTTATCATTTTATATCACGTAAGTAAAATTTACAAAACAGTACAATCTTAATATTGGCTCCACAGATCTATTTAAATACAACTATAGTCTAAAATAATTTTTCATTTTGCATGATGTATTAAAGACTTTCAGTATCGTAGTATTGATTTTTTTATGCAGTATTAACTTTTTTAATGCTTTAAGTTAAGCATGAATGTACTCATAGGAACATGCAAGCTAGTGTATCAACCAGCCTCCATAAATTTGCAATTAGAAAAGAAAAATACATCAAGAAATATTTCAAATGATAATATACTGTAACCACAGACAGAACCAAGGAAACAAGTGGAATTACATTCTTTCTCACCAACGACAAACAGCTTTGGTTTTGAAGCTGTTTTTAGTTAGAATGTCTTAAATTCAGACCAGCTTTAACACTCTGAAAACTCAAGAGGAAGCAAATATGAACCAAGCCTGCATAGGGACAGGTCAGCAAGTCACAGATCAGTAAACACTTCTTATGCTTAATTTTTAAAAACTGCTTTCCGCTAAATTCTTTAAACTCCTTCCTTGTACTCTTGGTTCAAAAAGGCTTGAGTCGACCGGGCCCGGTGGCTCACGCCTATAATCCCAGCACTCTGGGAGGCCGAGGTGGGCGGATCAGCTAAGGTCCGGAGTTCGAGACCAGCCTGACCAACATGGATAAACCCCGTCTCTACTCACCCACTCTGACCCTCAAAGGCCTCCTGGCCTCATCAGCTCCCAAAACTATAATACTTAGATGGCTCTGCTCTTTACCATTTTCCTCTAAACCTAAGTGAACTTGGCTTTCTTCAGTTTCTGCGTGTTCACCCATTCCCAATTCATCATGCCATGTTTATCCCAAATCCCTGCTTCTTTATCCCCGTGGTGAATGTCCCCTCACCCCCTGTGCCTCTGGGTTTGTCAATACCCACAGGCCTTTAAAAATCGCCCTCCGAATGAGGGGCCTTGAGTGAAACAACGACCACATTCAAATATGCACTCAGTACCTAAACCTGCATCTTCGAAACCAAACTGCGCCCCCGACTTCACCAAAAATCTGCTCAGGACCCTCCCTCCCTCCCAACCACTCCCTGCACAGCTTTCTCTCCTGCTACGGATTCCCAACTTTCAGCTCCGCCTTTGCTTCCCAATTCGGCCGACAAAACTTCGAGCCATTCGCTCCGCTCTCCTGAATTTCTCCGCAGCCCTCTCCTGGGCGCCGCGCTCCTTCCCGCCCTCCCCGTGCGGCCGCCACCGCGGCCACCGGCAGCTCCAGCCCACACCTCCAGCGCCCCCGCCCCTCCTTCCCGAGACCACAGGCAGCCGTTGGCGCGCTGGACCCCGCGGCAGTCACCTTCTTCCTCCGCCATCGTCTCTGCGGAGGCCGGGGCGCCCTCCGGCTCCCGCGCGGCCCGGAGTGTCCCTCCCTCCGAGTCGCCGAACCCCTCGGCCACCCGGGGCCCGCTCCTGGCCGCCGCGCCCCCACTTCCTGACCCACCCCCCTCCGGTGTCGCCGCCAACCGCGTCCCCGCAGGCAGCCAGGGAACCACAGTGTTGGGAGAGGGGAGCGGTCGGAGCGTTTCGCTGGGGCGCCGGAGCCTGCGAGGGCAGGAAGGAGACTCCACGCCGGGGGCGCCGCCCACAGCAGCAGCTACCGGACGCTGCCTCCCCTGGAAAGCGAAACTAGTGGGTCTCGCTGCAGCCCCGCCCCTCGTCCTACTCTTCCCAAAAAGTGGGGGCTTGCTTTCCGCCACGTTTGTGACTCCGCGACTTAGCGAGTCGGAGACGATCATCAGCGACACCTCCCAGGTCCAGCCTCTATTCCCGCCCCATTTTACACGGAGGAAACAGATCTAATGTGGTGGAAGTCACAAAGCCGGACAGTGGCAGAACTGCCTGTAATTCCAGCTACTCGGTTAGCGCTTTGGTTTAGTAGACCACTTGACCATTACAAGAAAGAAGCTTGTGCTTTTATAGTAAACTGAGTAAGAAAATAAAGGCCTGGTATGAGGCAATGAAAATAAAAATGTTCAAAGAGAATGAATTCAAAAGATGTTGGAAGGCCGGGCGCAGTGGCTCAAGCCTGTAATCCCAGCACTTTGGGAGGCCGAGGCGGGCGGATCACGAGGTCAGGAGATCGAGACCATCCTGGCTAAAAAAAAATACAAAAAACTAGCTGGGCGAGGTGGTTGGCGCCTGTAGTCCCAGCTACTCGGGAGGCTGAGGCAGGAGAATGGCGGGAACCCGGGAGGCGGAGCTTGCAGTGAGCTGAGATCCGGCCACTGCACTCCAGCCTGGGCGAC